TTCTATCATTCTCTCTTTTGAATCCAAATAACAGGATCAATTCCTATATGCTCTATACTGAAGTTACGGTATGAATAATACACATCTAGTTACGTTACACATCCAATTAGGATAACTAGTGACCTTGAAATCATAACTATGTCTTATTACATACAAAACTTAACCCCTTTGCCCACAGCCTTTAGGTCTAAAAGTTAGTTTCTAACTTGCTGTCGTTTGTCTTTTCTCTCTGGATGTGTAATATAACTGGTAAACCTCTCATAAATTCTAATGCATTTGATGATAGATGTAGTATGTCATCTCTATATCTGAAAGTATAATGAACTTTTCTAAATTTTGCCTATTCGACGATTTCAACGTTTCTAATATGGTCTTCCATATATACTAAGACCATGTCAGCTATTTGCGGACTACATAAAGTTCCCTGTTATACCCTTTGCTTGTCTATAGATATTAGCCCCAAAATATAGATAACCGGATTCCATCATTTAACATGTATAACACATCTTCTAGCTGATAATACTATCTTCTATATGCATGCTTCGTAAACAAAAATTCCTTAGATCTGTACGATGATTCTGTTACAGTGAAATCAATTGTCCCTTACCTAGTACTCAGTATAAATTGGACCGAGTCGAATTTATTTGACCATTCGAATAAAACATTTAAAATGGAATCACTGGAAAATTCGACTATTCGAAATTCAGCAATTCGAATTCTGAAACTTCAAGATTTCGAACGAAACTTCGAATACTCGAGAATACTTGCGAATTATTCAATTATTCGAATATTTCATCTTTCGAATTGTTCGAAAATTCGACGAATCGTCGAATATTCGAATATTTGAGCAGACCCAACATTGAACATACGAACGCGGCATTTGACGTATGTAATACGAAAGATTTGTGCTCAATCCTCAGTGTTGGACCCTCGCTATGGGACGGGATTTCTAAGAGAGGAATTGGGCCCTTATCTCATACTCTGATAAGCCGCATTTCAATTGAACTAGAGTTGCTACATCCTTTTTAAAAGCGTCATTACTAAAGGTGTGAAGGCTCTGACACATACACCATGGTGCCGAATACACTCAGCTGCTATAGGTTATTAGCAAGGTTTTGCTTGAGGAGTATACATTTGGTACTACCTAGAAGATTAGAAGAAGTTTTCCCGACATAACTAAAAAAATTGGGCCTGTTTTATGCACCTCTGTGAGGTGACCCATGTCACTCTTTGAATTCAAAAGACCAAAAATCAGTAGGTTTATGGTGGTTTCAGGCGTCAGACCACGAATGGAAGTAAAAGTTTGGAAATCCTGTCACGCTGCATGCTAAGTGGAGCTTGGAGAGGTAAGAACAATAGTAGTTGTGAAAAGTAATCTCAAGATAGACCACTTCTTTTCTTCTCCTGATCTATGAGTTGTTTACTATACAAACACATGAAGTGAGATAATGGTGTCTCTAACGTATTATTGAGTTTTGAACGCAAATTTTACATGGAAGATGACTTCTGTGTAAGTAATACACGGATAAAATAATCGAATATTTGTTCGAAAATTCATACATTTTGAGTTTCTTAAATTTCGATTTATCCGAAAATTCGAGTACTCATTTTCGAATTATTTGAAAAATCGAATAGCCGAAAATTTTGATTTTCGGGTATTCGTCAATTTCCGAGTTATTCGATTATTCGAATATTCGAAATTTTTCAAAGAAATCCCAATGGATATTACTCAGGTAGGTTTTGATTAAATGTTTAAAAACACGAAGGTAGGGCAGTACTGCTAAGTGTTACAGAACTTCTCGCATAAATGGCAGGAGAAATATTGCAATTTAATCATAGTTTAATCATGTAAAGTCGAAGTTGTAATAATGCTATAAGGCTTTGGAGTCACTAACAGTTGCCAGACATTCGAATACCTACTATAGGTCTCCTACGACGAAAACAAAACGCTACAGTTGCTAAGTGAAGCATTCTTTAACGGCGAAATTCATTTTTGCTAGTTTACCTTCCAACCAGACCAAATATTGCGGAAGCAAGTAATTCAGAACTTAGCATGTACTGTATATTGTAATTCGATAATAATCTCAAAAATTGGCAAATTTATGAATTTCGATGGTGGCATAGATTTTTAATGCCTACAGGAGAATCTCCGGCGAAGCGTTGGATTTTAGACTATGTCAAATCATGTCAGTTGTTCACTGTTTGCATACAAATAATAATAAGTCTCTAGGTCCTCAACTCAGGAGTAATAACCAAAGGAAGTAAAAGGAAATGAATGAGTGTGTTTGAAGACCTATTTATGACATCCTCGCTATTTTTCCCATTGATTATTGTTTGGAAACATTTTGAACCACAAAGATTTGTTCTCGTTGTCTCCAATCAAATTAGACAACAAAAGCCAAAAGCATTTCAAACGGAGCGCCTTGTTAAAACTATTAGCACCTTTGTCCTGTTTCTGGACTATCAAACTTTTGAATGTAGGTGCTAAGCTTGGAGAAATCTATGCAGTTCTCACTGAACGATTCATCTCTTTGACTGAGATGATCTTGATCTCACCCTTTGAGGTACAACTGAATGGATTATCGCACTTCCAACAACTACGATTATGTGTCATGCAGCTGATTGTTTGAGATGTTCAGAAAATCTTCTTACTTCAATGTGTGATCATCCTTCGTCCCGCTTCCTGCCAATTCAATATTTGGTGGTGGAGGAGGTAATGGACGTGGTTTAGGCCTTTCACGCTTACCCCTAAATGCATTCTGAGACAAGCTCTCATGTGACTCAAGGCATTACTTTGATACCAAAATACTTACTGCTGCGGAGGCGGCTCCTTACTACATTCGATTAAGTTGATACCGATTAAGAGAAGTGTGTTTACCTGAATTGTTGTAGACAATTAATATGACTGTTGTAACACTCACTACTGTATCTTGGTTTCCTGCACGAAACAATTATAAATCGTTTCGGGTAACGGAAGTAGACCGCGTGCATTTTATGTGCATGGTGTAATCACAACCATGCACAGATTTAGGAAAATTATACAGGTGTAGGACTATTTTATCGTTAATAGGCCCCAGCCTCGCGGACTACTGATTATTTTCAATACTGCTTTATCGAAAAACTTTACATAGCTAACAGACACATTACCCTTTACTGAGAATAGGCTTTCGAGTTCTGTTTAAAAAAAAGTATGGAAATGAGATAGTGTCCACCAGGTAGGGCCCAATGATGTGAACAGTCCTACACAAATGTTATAGCCTGTTTCCTGAGCCTAAGCCGCGGTGCTGTTTTGTCCGCAATTGCACAGGTATGATTTTACTATGATTTACGCTTGGGAACTCAGAAGTTCTACTACCCTGGCAAGATTCAATGGGAAACACGCGGCTCAGAATGCAGAGAAAGGATAAGAAATAGAGTGCAAAGTAGCTTGGTGCTGTGCATGCGGCGCCTATACAAATCACCTTACGCGCCGCTACAGCTCAGGCTCACCATATACATGCTTAGCTAGACTCCCCTCGATTACCGTAAACAGGCAATCGTTCTTCGAAATTGGCACTTAGTAGGCTGCAACACTATGTTTTGTGGAACAAAAATTTAGCTAACTACATCGTTTTGCTCATCGGGATAACAAAACAACTCCCACATTAATGAAGGATACATTAGAGCTCCAACTTTGGGATTTATCGGAGAC